GCGGAAGTCCTTCTATTTCATGCGAATGGATGTTGAAGGAAGGATCCCAAATCTGCAAGAAGCACATAGTGTGCAACGTTCGCACTCGTTTCCACAAAGCTAACCCTCACAATCCCAGCAGTCGAGCCACACAGGAGCATTTCTCGAGACAATTCATTGATGACAATCAATGAAGATGTCTTATCCTGAATTGCAGAATCTCAATTACCCTATGTCAACAAATCAGGTGATACCGTGTTGAAGGGGTTATCCCCATTGCATGAAAACTTTCGCGCAAGACTGGTATACGATTTTTCAAAACGCGTAATATATATCTGGTCTCCATCCGTCGAATAAATGCACTTCCGAAGCATTGAAAGTGAGACGGAGGCAGCACATCGGGGTATACGAGTAAAGACTAGCTGGGCGTCACAGCTTGTTGTCTAAAAATAACCATCAGGAACATTAAGAGAAAGAAAAGAAAAGGATCTCACCCTGAAGTGTTCAAATTCGTGATGTGCTTGCTGACGCTGTCCTTGCTCCACGAAAATAGCCCAGTCAGTAGGATTCACCAATGTGAGTGCTCGATCCGTGAAATCTTCAACCTCTTCCTTACACTGTAAAGGACATGCATAAGGATTGGGTTATGACTAGCCAAAACTCACATAGATAAGGTCCAATATCGGCTGGACGAAGATACGGCTACACCACGGCACGAATTCGGTTGTTAACAAAGGTTCAGCAGTGCTTGTGAGCACGCCCTTTGAAAATTCACCGCGAGCTGTCTGGAAACAAACTTTTTAGCAGATTTATAGAATAAACCATTGAAATACTAGTTCGAGCCGTTTGCAGCATTTGAACGCACCAAAGAACAAGAAAGGACACTTCGAAGAGCGCAAACGATAGGAAGACTTAGGAGAGCAACCGAATATAATCGGAACCCTATTATCTAACTCGCATCATAGAAAAGACTCCGTCGTTACATGTTGCGCTCTCATGTCAAAAAAAAAGTTATCGGGTAGCCTTGTATCA